ACGATTGACTTCTGTTAACCACCACCCTCTGGGTCCTACCGCGGAGCCAATTCCCCAGCCAACTGATTGTGGTGAGGCCAAAGCTGCAGTTAGCCAGTTTTGCTAAGAGGTGATCATGGGATACCAGATTGAAGGCTTTTTTAAAGTCAAGATATATGACCTCAATCTCTTCCCCCTTGTCCAGGTGATGGGTCACCTGGTCATAAAAGGAAATGAGATTGGTCAAGCAAGACCTACCCACAACAAACCCATGCTGGCTATCCCTCAGGATATTGCCTTTGGCTAGTCTGTTAAGGATGGCCTCTTTGATAATCTTTTCCAAGACCTTCCCCAGGATAGAGGTCAGGCTGATGGGCCTGTAGTTTGCCGGATCTACTTCCCTCCCTTTCTTGAAGATAGGCACGACATTGGCCCTCTTCCAATCTTTGGGCACTACACCAGAGCACCAGGATTTCTCAAAGACCCATGCCAGGAGCTGAGCTATGATGCTAGCCAGCTCCTTAAGTACCCTTGGGTGTAAACTGTCAGGGCCGGCTGACCTTGAAGGTATCCAGCCTGTCAAGGTGTACCTCACAAGGTCAGCTTCGATGGAGGGAAAGCAGTCTCCCTTACCCGGACCTCCTTGACCCACAGTGGGCAGGGGCATCCCATGGGACTGGTGAAAAACTGATGCAAAGTACCCATTAAGCAAGTTTGCTTTTTCCTGGGTATCGGTTGTCAGTTGTCTCATCTGGTTTGGCAGGGGTCCAGTGTTGCCCTTGCTTTTCTTCCTGGCTCCCCACATTCCTGAAAAAGGACTTTTTATTGGCCTTGATATTTGTAGCTAGCTGGCGTTCCATCGCAGCCTTGGCTTTCCTGGTTTGCTCTCTGCAGGTCTGGACCAGAGCAGAGTATTCCTCCTTGGATGTGGATCCAGTCTTCCATCCTTTGTAGGTCTTCCTTTTAAGATGCAGGAGGTCCACTAGTTCCCTGGAGAGCCAAGGGGGCTGTTGTGCCCTTTTGCTGCCTTTCCTCCGAGATGCAATAGACTTTGCTTGTGCATCCAGGATTGCTCCCTTGAGGAGCAACCCCTTGTCCTGAACTCCCCTCCCCTTTGGGTTGTGGTCCTTTAGGGCCTCACTGACAAGCCTCCTGAGCTTGCCAAAGTCAGCTTTCCTGAAGTCGAGGACTTCTGTATTACTGACTTACTTGCCAGCTTTACAGCGGATGGTGAAGGTGATCTCGTGGTCACCTTCACCCAGCTTCCCTTCGATCGATAGGTTGCTGATTAGGTTGTCCCCAGTTGCCAGTACCAGGTCAAGCAGCGCTTTACCTCTCATCAACCCATAGACTTCCTTTGTCAGATAGAGGTCATCCACGCACGAGAGAAAGCTTTGCGACTGCTCGAATTTGGCTAAGCGCTCCTCCCACGAGATGTCTGGGTAGTTGGTCTCCCATGACAACCAAACACCGGGAGCGTGCGGCCTCAGCCAGTTCCCTGGCAAACTCCTGGTTAAGGTCTTGACCCTGGGTAGGGAGGGGGTCTGTAGTAGACACCCACCTTAGTATCCCCTGTGCTATGTTCCCCATGGATTTTAACCCAGAGGGTTTCAAGTCGTCCACCCTGGGTGCCAATGTCAGCTTGCAAGGATGCGTAGCTTTCCTTGACATAGAGAGCTACACCCCCGCCCCTTTTATCCACTCAATCCCTCCTGTACAGGGTATAGCCATCTGTAGCTGTGGCCCAGTCATGGGTGGAGTCCCACCAGGTCTCCGTTATCCCTATGACAACATAGCTATTAGCATTTAGCAGGAGAACAAGTTCCTCCTGTTTATTCCCCGAGCTCCTGGCATTTGTGTATAGGTACACAAGTGTCCCCTTGGGGGCCCTAGCATTGCCTACAGTTCATTCCAGGGCTGGGGCAGGGGTGGGTTCCCTTAAGTGCCTTGGCCTGCTGCCGCTGCAAGGGTTGCTCAGCGGGCCAGCAGTGGCGGTAGTCCCCCCATCCCTCAGTGGGCTTAGTTTAAGCCCAGTGCAGCAGGTCAGCCAGTCTGGCTGAGAAGAGCCTCCTCCCCAGCAGAGAGGTGGAGGCTGTCCCTTCCCAGCAGCTCGCTGCCTCTCTCACCAAAGAGTGGGCTGTGATCATGGAAGCCAAAGCCTTCCTGATGACACCAGCGCCATAATTGTAATTACAGTGCAGTTTAGTAGAATTAGTCTACTGTACCGTTAGTATCTCATGTAGATACACCCAGATTGTATTTTTCAAATTGAAAAAATTGTTTTCATGGGGGAAAATATAGTACATTTCATGAAAGCAGTAACTTTGAACGTTTTAAAATTGCTTCTAACCAAGGAACATAGTGGAAGTTGCTAAATATTTCAAAAGATGAGAAGACAGAGGAATTTTCTTTTTTTATCATTTTAGTTTGATGGAACTGAATTTTGGAACATGCTGTTGTCATGTATTATCATATGAAGTCTTTCAGTGCTTGCCATGTTGGGAGTTAATGTACACAGACGATGAACTGGAAAACTTGAGAAAGCTGAGAAGGGCTTCTGTCTAAACATCTGGATGAGCTGACTACTTCAGTTTTTTTTGTTCCCAGCCCACTCATGACCATTTTCATACTACTGAAAGTTAAGTTTTAGAATGCAGTCAACACTGGGCTTGAATATGAATAGCTAATGACTAAAACCATAACATTCTTTGAATTACGGGATGGAGAAACAGGTAATACAGAAAAACAGACTTAAAATAATTTTGATGTGAGCACTAGCTTTGTAATCAAATGGTCTTGCTTTTGTGCATTTTCGAATGGGAGAATAAATAACTTTTGAAAAGCAATTTCCTTCCTTCCCAGCTTCTTTCTGATGAAAGATGATCTTGCATAGCTTTAGCTTGTGACGCAAAGCATCTTAATTCTTGTTTTTAAAGTGTAATGGTACATTGTTGTACCTAGCTCAGAAGAGAAGACATCCAATTCATAGATTAAAAGCTTATTTTTAATTATTATTTAAAAATTATTCTTCAAAAATTAATTTTTTCAAGCTGTTAATACTGATCTAAAATTTAACCTCTCCAAAGTAACTGTCCTATGCTACATTAATGACTCCTCATGAGTAAATATAAAGATAAGGTGACTGGTATGTATGTATGTGTATAAAAAAAAAAAAAAAAAAAAAAAGCTTTAGTCCTTTAGACTGAAAGGTACTTTAGCTTGGGAAGACTAAAATGAATTTTCATTTTACCTTCTTTGGTTGCATAGTTATACTAATGTGAAAATTACTAAAACTTTAGACTTTCATATTCATATTGGAAAAATGTTCTCAGCTGTATGTATTTTGTAGCTTGTATTAACTTGTTGGTTTGCTGATGCAGAAATTGACTGCCACTTGGTGGCAGTACTTGGCTTCAAAAGGAACCTTTTCTGGGTAGACAAAATGGCCTTGATTCTCTGAAAATTACAGAATAGGGGAAAAAGAAATTGGATTAACTTACTTTAAAAGAGGAAATACTAATATGCTAGCATGGGTTAAAAAGGCAAGAGGTGTATTTAATCTACATGGAAAAGCTTTGTATTTTTGTCATGAACATTTTCATAGAGAAGTAATCTAGAATATGTATTCCAAGAGGTGCTACTTTGTTTTGAGTAATGCTTAACTATAAAGAATGAGTGCCCTTCATTGTGTAATCCCTTTTTAAGCCTTTTTGCATAATTTTTTTTTGAGGACGGTATACTTCAAGCCATTGCCATAGTCTAATATTAATAAGATGTGATACTACCTAAATGGGAAGTATTTTCCCTCTGTTTAGCAGCAAAAGGCCAAAGTCATTTTAAGTTGTCCAAACTTTTTTTTTTTATCTGTGGTATTTTCTTAGATTTCTGTGTATTGAAATAGCATAATTGAATGTATATTTGGAAATGACTGTTCTAGGCACTGGAGCAATGTCTGTTTTCACTTGCTGTGGCTATAGTGCTCTTATGGCTGGGAGAGAAGTGTGCTGCTTCAGTGATTTCCAGCATTGTATGTTCCATGAATATTCTGTTTGTGGGGCTGTGCCCTGAAGGGCTGAAGATGCATCCCTGGCATTCAGGCTGCGTCAGGCATCCCAGTCAGTGGCAGGCTGACCACTGACATCCCTTCTCCGTGTAAGTGTTCATGGCAAGGTGTCCCTTATTGGGACAAGTCTCATCGCCTGCAACTGGAGCTGGAATTGGCTTTTGCTCCTCCCCTTCCCGAGTAAAAATCAAAGAAGAAAAACATTTTGCAGGAAGCAAGTACATTCTCTTTTTGTATTATCTCAGAAGTCTATGGGTTAGTGCCTCATGCTTTTATGCTTTTTTGAACTGTGATATTTACCTGACCTAGAAAAGAATTAATCCAGCATGTTAGTGAAATTTACAGTTTGGAAAATTAGACTTAGAATATTAGAAATATTAATAGAAAATGAGATAGTAAGGAAAATCCAAAACTGTTCAGTGAGAGAACCTGGAAAAGTAATGGGACAGAATAAGGGACAGCAAATTATCACTAATACCCATATAGAGTATTTGTCAATTTTTTACATGCACCAGCAATGTAGTGTTGGGTGAATCATCATGTGTTTGATTTGGGTGGTTCAGGTAGCTGAATCCTGTGGTTGCATGAAATGGAAACATCTAGTAAAACTTTCTAGTGCATATATTGAAGTAAGGTTTTAGGGGGACCTCTTAGTGACACTTGGACCAATTGTATATTTTGGCCTGTCGCAGCTGCAGCAACACTCCAACCCTACTACTGCATGTATTTGTAAAGGTTGAAAATGGGATGAAAATACCTTCTTCCCTCTACCCCCACCCCTAACAGAAGTATTTCTTCAGCGTAGTACAGGGTTTGGCAACCAAAGGCCCACAGCCATTTTAGCTGGCCCATGGATGTGACACTTCGGCATTCAGTGGTGGGGCACTTCTGCAGCAGTCACTTTTCTGTGCTGCTTTAGGGAGAAGCACTGGTAGTGGCTGGGTTCCAGTGCCCACCCATCCGTTTCCTGAACTGGGTTACTGGTCTGCAGCTAAAAAGTTTGCCAGTTGCTGGTGTAAAGTAATATGAGACAAATATGTTGGAACCTATTTTTTTTTTCCCTGTGGGACTGACCAAATGTCACAGCCATCTTCAGAGACGCATCATTGAAGAATAGACCAGAATGCAAAAGCGGTATCAGCATTTTATTAAAAAAAATTGTGGGTGTTTTTTTTAAGTATTTGCATTTCACTAAGTCACTTAATAGACAAAATACTTATGTCTCACCTATTGTAACCAGCAACCACACAGGACTTACCTGAATGTTGATACATATGATACAAGAGCTACCAACCCCCTTAATCCTCACCAGTGTATTTTTCATCTACACTTCCAGGCAGATTCTTGTCAGTTCTTACCATTATGGTTCATCTGTGGTGCCATAATCAAGTTAAACTACCAAGTAAAGGCGCTGTGTGATTTGGTAATTCATTGACTGCTACTGTTCATGAGGTTGCTGAAATGTACCTCTACCCACTGTCTTCAGATTTTTTTGGCTCTCTGACCCAAGACAGAAGAAGAAAACATGTTGTTTTGAAGAAAGCAGCAGACAGATTTGGGTGAGAAAATCTAAAAAAAGCTTATATCTCAGCTGTGGAACAGGCCAGGAGGAGATGCTGCTTTTCCATGTTATTAAGCATTGCATAGTACTGTGATGAACTGTTCTAGAACAAATTGCTTTGTTCCTGGACGCTGTGTGCATAAAACCTTGCTGTGCATCTTGACAGCAGCACTGTTTCCTGGATGGTTCAGTGTCTGATAAAACTAATTTCTTGGATGAAGAGTAGCTGAGTAGAGACTTGGTGGGAGATGTGTTCTTGGAATCCTTCAGAATTCCTGATCATCACTTGATAACCAGATACCCCTATAGCAAGGAAGAAACACCTTATTCTACTTAGGACATGCTGTCCCTTGGTTTCAGATTAGGTAGACTACTTTTTCCCCAGATCTATGCAGGGATAAATTGGCTCCTCCAAGGGTATGGTAGATGAAAAAAGGAAGAGTAGGCTGGGTACTGAAAACTTGGACCATGCCAAACTTGCTTCAGAATTTGCAGCCTTTTGGTAGGGGGTAGAGGGCCAGAAGTAAAATTTTGAAAAAGATTTAAATTTTAAGCACAGTTAGTCAAGGAATGGGTTCTATAACCAGTCACAGATAGACACAGGAAAATACTTTCATGATAGTTTGTTTTCACCTTAATTAATCAATCTCCCCATGGTAATAGGGCCTCCTTAATTTTAAGAGAAAAGATCTTGCATTCAAGGAATGTATTAAAAAAAAAAAAAAAAAAAAAAAGGACTGAAACAGGAGATAGTGTATCAACTGTGATACTTGATACCTGTGTTTCAGCATGCTCTTCAGTTATTTTCTGAGACCCAAAAGAATCAGAAGTCCTAAGGTTACAGATGACTACAATGAGTAGCATGTCAGAGTAAATAATGGTCAATGGTAAAAGATGCAGAATAAGAATGATTTAAATGATTACATAACTGCATGGAGAATGATGTTTATGCTCAGGTTTTCAGTCTTGCTTGACTGGACATCTGACAAAGACCCACATATAAGAACCAAGTATCGGGTTGATTTTAGTTAAATGAATTTGAGAGTGCTGACTGATAGGGTGGAATACTCTTTGTAAATGTCTCCTGGAAAATAACACTTTATTCAGATTTAATAAAAATATTTTTCAGAAAATAAAAAGCTGACAAATTAAGTTGAATCTAAATTAAATAAAGCTGTATAAAATTAACTCTGAATTCAATATGAATTCTCTATTGTACCAACCAATACAAATGTAACTTTATTGAAAAAATAACTAACATATAAATGGGAAAAACTTATTGAAATAGGTTTTTTAAATTAAGGCATTCCACTTGGTGATTCATATAATCTAAAATTAAATCTATCCATACTGACTTTATTTTAGAACTAGAAAAATGGAATTAAAATATGTATCCCTCTGTGCCATGTCCCAGATGTGCCCAACTTTTCTGCACCTTACCTGTCCTATCCTGTTCTGAATGTTACTCTGTACTTTCTTTCCCAAGGAAGTATTTTATTTGCAAAACTTGAGTTCTTTTTTTTTTTTTGCTGTGTTATGCTACTTATCAGTTTCCTGACAAATTTCACAAAATCCAATTCCCATCAGTAATTTTTTCCCCTTAAAAAGCAAAAAAACAAAACATAACCCCAAAACAAAAAACCCTTCTTATCAGAAGTGTATATTGCATATAACATATGGCAGTGCATTCTGTAAACTATGAATGTGACTTTTAAATTATTGAAATTTATACTGAACGGATGTCTCTCCAATAGTAAATTAAACTCTAAAATTGAGTATGTAATAAGCAAAAACTTGTTAACAGTTTTAATGAGTGTTGAATCACAGCTAGAGGAAACTGCTGGTTATTTGCCACTACAAAAATATATTCATTTTAAAGACTGTCGTGACAAAGGTGCATACTAAACAAGATTTAACTCAGTCAAACAAATTTCCTGTTTCTAGAGTTTCACTGTTCTAAATAGTGATAATGGTATATTGTTGACCAGAACTAGGGTTCTCCCACCTTTTATGAATGTTTTGATTTTCTTAAAAGGAGACGCAATACATAACTAAAAAAAGAATTTATCCTTTTTATAGTAAAATTTCTGAAGACTGATTCTGTTAAGCTCTTACTAGAGCAGAGTTAAATGATTTGTACCTAATGTTAAAAAGCCACTTTATCTGTGCCTTAACTTCTAGGTTTTTCTTTATTAAGGCATTTACATCAGATGAAGTAATTAGAGCTGAAATATCCACCAGTTTGTTCTCCAGACTTGCCAATGGTAAGCATTCAAAAGTTGGCATTCCCTTGCAGTTCAGGTATTGGGGCTTTAAGAAAAATATGAGATATTGAAAGGCTTGTGAAGTGGCAATGCTGGCTGTTTTACTATTCATGTATTAATAAAGAGCCAAATATTCTCCCCTCCCCACTCTGGTTTTAAGGCTTCTAAAGACAATGAACTTTTCCTAACCTTAACTTAAGTGTTTCAAGATAAACACGCTCTCTTTCAAATGTATGTGGTCTGAAAAAATGCAAGATAAACTCCACTTGCATTGGTTTACTGGGTGCATATGATTCTTGGAAAATCAGTAATTTGACTGTTACCTTCCAGTCCTTTGGATAAATTTTTTTCTTTCATTTTTCTTTCTTTTAAACACCATTTTTTAGAAAGGATTACTTGTTGGCAGTCTCATTAGAATGGCCCCAAACTACACACACGTGGAGGTGGAACTACCTTACAATCTAGTATGGAAGAAAATTGCAGAAAGCTGTGGGGGCTTGGGAAAGCTTGTACTACTTTAACCTAGGCTGCCATATTTCTCTAGCTAAATAGGACTTCAGATGGACATCTTTTGTGAATACCTAGTTCTCTTTAAAAGTCTTATTTTTCATTGTGTTAACCATACTATTGCATGAAATTATAAACGAGTTGAAATAAGACTTTTTTGCAAGAGGCAGAATTTCTTAGGGTGAGATCCTTTATAGAACCAACTGCATAGTTTAAGTCTAATAAAGAGCATCTTATATTCAAAAGCTTGTCTAACTCTCTATCACAGCTATTCAGTTGGTCCAATGAAAGATATCATCCTAAGAAATCTTTCCCTCACATAATTCCTAGACCATCATGGCTCTAACATCACTCGCTAAAGAGATCATCATCCCTAGCTATTAGGGCTGTGGTACAATCCCAGTTTTGAAAACGTTGTTTATTTTTGTATTTAAATATTGTAACTTTGTTGTGATGTATACTTTTCGCTTAGACAAAGGTTTGTGCGACTCTTTAGTCATCTAACTGTTGTTGCTTCCAAAAATAGTGTGGCATTCCTTGTTCCCTAATTGTAAGGTAAATTAATCTCAAGTCTGGCCTAAAATGAATCTGCCAACCTTTCAGAGTTAATGTATGGTAAAAATTGTACTGTCAGTCATTCCTGATCAGAGAGCAGCTTTTCCCACCCAGATATGCCAGAAGGAACTGTAAGAGAGTCTGTCCAATTCTGGCTTGTTGCTCACTATAATGTCTTTTAAAAGTTGTGAAGATTGTGCAAAAATAATTCTGTAAAATTTGCAAAGTGGTAAAATTGATTGCGGTGGGTGTCATGACTTCCAGTTTCCTGAGTTAAAGCTCCTAAAACTCTTGACAGTGCATCAGTGTAGTATACTGCAGGTATTACAAACCCTTTCTAATATGGATCATTTATTCTCTAAAATGGGAATTAGAGAATATTTAACCAGCTGTCAGAGATTCCAGCTGTCTGGCTGTCAGCTATAACAGCCACATATTATAGTTGCTTTAAGAACTTATTTTAAAAAGCAAAAATTCAGACTGCAGTTAGGCTGGGATACATATGCATCTTGCATGATCCTATATAATGTGCCTAAAGGGTGTCAATAACCAGTAACGCCAGCCATCTATTCAAGTTGAGAGGAATCGTATAACACAATTCCATGTCACATTAAAAAACAAAACAAAATGAAAAGCACAGATTGGGAGTTACTGGAATTTTTTAATTTATGGATTTCTGAATAATGCAATCCAACAGAGAATGGAAATGGTATAATCCATGGGTTCACAAGCATGGAAGCACACATTCAATAGCTTCTAGTCTGCAAGCAGAAGTAGAAAAGGGGAGAAATAGAAAGTGAACCGTTGGTTGCCCATAATGAAAGGTTTTACAGTTGCATCTTCATCTGGGGTATGGGTCACAATTGCTTTACAGAGCAGAGAGCCAGAGCTGTTAAATATATTATTTTCAGAGGGACAAGTTGAACCTTATAAACCCCAGCAAGGAATTTTTGTGTCATCCAACTGAATCCTTTGTTATTACAGACATCCAAGTGATATAACCTTATTCATAACTTTTTCAAGCTCTATCTTCACTAATTGTTTTCTGCCACGGATCCTATTGGAAGGCTGTTCTAATAAATGCATGTCAGTAAAAGCATAAAGCATGACTTACATTACTACAGAATTGACCTTCTGCTTTCCTGCTACCTCAGATTTAGTTGGGGAAGGGTACATCAGCTACTGAAAGAAAATATAGCATCTAAAATAATCAACTTAAAACTCTGCATCTTTTGTTTCTCTTCCTTTTTTCCCTGGATTTCATTGTTTCTGTCATTTCAGTTTCATGCTCTTAATGATTTTGCTTTTTGTGTCTCATATTACTCTACACCAGCAGCTGGCAACCTTTTTAGCTGCAGGCCAGTAACCCAGTTCAGGAAACGGATGGGTGGGCACTAGAATCCAGCCACTACCGGTGCTTCTCCCTACAGCAGCACAGGAAAGTGACTGCTGCAGAAGTGCCCCACCACTAAATGCCGAAGTGTCACATCCATGGGCCAGATAAAATGGCTGTGGGCCTTTGGTTGCCAAACCCTGTACTACGCTGAAGAAATACTTCTGTTAGGGGTATAGGTCACAATTGCTTTACAGAGCAGAGCAGAGAGCCAGACTTGTTAAATATATTCTTCTTTAACTCTGCTTCCTCCCATCAGAACTACTTTGTATGGTTTTTGTGGAGAGGAGTTAGGGAGCAGTTTTCAAGCTATCAAGGGACAACTTTCTGTTCCTTTATCACTTTTTCTTGTATCACCCCTCCACCATTTTTTCTACTTAGTGGTCCTCTTTTTCCCTCATCACCTGATTGTACTTGTCCCATTAGTCTGTCCACAGTTGTGTCTGATTCTAGGATCAGAGAACCACCAATGGCAGGATATATTTACACTGCAGTCACAGAAGAGACTGCAGTGGAATGAATGCACCTAAGCTAGCTTTAAATGAGCTAGTTTGAGTACTGGAGCAGTCTAGGCATGGCAGCACAGTGCTCAGCCCAAGCTGTAATAAAATTAAGTCTCTGTATGTGTTGGCTTGAAGTATTTGTACCACTTGTTGATGAAGTGCCCATTTTAATCATCTTTATAGGGTTTCAGAAAGCAGAACTTAAGACCTAGCTAATTGTATCTAATGCTTGTCACTTCAGGATGTATGCTTTTAGTGCATGGGCGTTTGCATTTGTAGCTTTCATATGAAAATTGACACTTATGTGTAGAAAAGCACTTTTTACTTCTCACAGATCTGGTTATGTTCTAATACTCTAACTTTCAGTTCCAGGACACTTTGTAAGCTCTAGTAAAACAAGGATTTTTATAACAGAAACTGATAAGCTTGTAACTGCATTAGTAGGTGACAGTATAATACATTTAGCTCTGTAGTATAGTTTTAATGAAGTAGTGTTGAATGAGGGCATTATTATAATTTGGTGTGTGATTGTATTGCATAGCAAAGGTTGTCATTATGGAGTAAGTATTCAAGAAATATTAACCTACTTGTAATAAATACAATTAATAATGTACATAAAAGAATGAAATTAAATACATTTTCTATCAAAAAGAATTATTAATGAACAGAAAGTGGACAGCATATATTTGATGACAGGAAGGTGGCATCTAATCTGAATTACTGAGTGACCTAGGAAGCTTGCTCAGAGGGATTACAGAATAATTATGTTAATATGCAATTATCACCTCATTTCTTCTGTAGTAACCTCAAGATGTAGTGTAGTAAGGGTGTTATAGCAAGTGCTGATAGTTTGCAAAAATACTGATGTTTGAGATTTTTAAGACAATAAGATTAGCTTGAGGCATTTAAGTGATGATCTGTCATCTTGAAGACAGATCTGACCTTTGCACTTTTTAATGCTTCTAGTGTCTGGCTACAGGCAGTTGTAGCTGTAAAACTCATTATGGCTTTCTAAAAAATGAATATTTAATTTAAAAAAATAACAGTTACTTTTCTAAATCCACTTATAAATGAAGTTGTGAGGGGGAAGGGTGTTCAGTAATTGGACATGTTCTACCCTTGGCTGTGCAGGTGTGAATCTGGAGTAATTACAATATAATTGGTTGCATCTATAAATCTAGACTAACACTAACTGCTGTAAAGTTATTCCAGATTTAAAGCTGGAGTAACTGAGCAGAATATGACACAGTGTTTTAAATAATATCACAACCATTGTGAGCCTGATTTGACGAGTACAACTGTGAAAGCTTTTCAAGATAGGTTTGTATCGGTTTGGTTTTATATAGTGCCTTCCATAATTTTGGCACTGTTGCAATATCAATGATTTGTCATGCAAGATTTTAGTCGGGAGATGTCGTTTTATTTATTTATTTATTTATTTGAAATAGGCTCCGCTGTCTTGCTTAGAAAAATGCAGATAATGCTTAGTGTGACACAAAATTCAATATGCGCTACTTTCAGCATTTATAAATCTCTTTAAATCCTTCAGTGTTTAAGGGGTTGATAAGCAAGTACAGTAAATATAAGTAACTTCCGTGTTATATGATACCAAATGAATATCCCTGTAAGCACATTCAGATCTCAGTTTAAAACTGCATTAAACCCTTTCAACCTAGTGTATCATTCAGGCATAAATTTCCAGGTATCAGAGTAGGTGATTGTATATCTAATACTTAAGCACATGCCAGGAGGGTTAAGTATTGATTTCAGTCTTGAATCTAGAAAAAGAATGCCTAAAATTGTAAGTAAACTTAGTTACACCTTTGGATAGCTCTAATACCAGCTGTTACACATGGCTGTTACCTTATTATGTACTGTGATAGCTGTAGGTTAGTAAACTACAGCTTGTCTGTTTAATAGCTGGGAAATTGCTGAAACTAGCTTAAAATAAAATTATTAAAATATTAAACCCGATGATATAATAAAGATCTTGGGCCTGTTGAAGTCTATGGAATGACCCGTGTTGAGACGAGAATCTTTTGAATAGGTGATCTGACTGTTTGTTTCTTAAGTTTCATAAATAGGTAATACCTGAAGAAGTTTATGAAAAAATAAAAACAACTGGTATGATTTGTCTAATTATTTGTCATAATACTGATGTAAATTTCTGTCTGGAGGCACTTGGGTGATTTAATAATTACATAATTATTAAACTTATAGAACATGAGAAAAATTAAAGTGCTAAATTCTTTATATGTTTACAGTTGTGTGTATGCAACAACATCGTTTTGTAGCTTCATCATGTAAACTTGTGGAAAGTTTTCATGAAATCATTCTGATAATGAGGATTGCAATCTCCAAGCAGGCATGATATTCTCAGTTTGCCACCCTGCTGTTCAGGGGGTACCAATGAAGTTGCTTTAAATGGGAAGCGTCTGTTCTTTCTCTGAACCCCTAACACCATAACAGATGGGTGGAACATGGAAGGTTTTACCTCAGAGGTGGTAACAGTGAAGCCACTCATTAACACTGAATTTACCACTTCGTTAGCAACGTTGCTTCCTGTTGAGAAAAGCTAATATAGGCTCTCAAATTGACTGAGCATACATTTGTCTACCTCTGTGAATATAATAAGATGAAGTAAATACAAATCTTTCAAGGATAATTAATTTTTAAAAATTAAAAACATTAAACTCTATTTCTGAACTGTTGAATACCCAGCTACTATTGAAAATTTAATGTGTTTTGCTAATTTGGTTAGATCTGATAGGAAAAGAGTTGTACATCTTCAAACTTGCTTTTCTTTTAACTGACATTTGCACTGCTGCTTTTTAGCAAATGTTTGTGCTGCCCATTTTTAACTTGTGTATGGGATGTAAAGACACCTGCTGGGTGCTGCATTATCACCATTTTAGGGTGATAACATTGAATATGATCTTATTGGAAGTCTATTTTTATTACCATGGAAATTTGCCAATCTCAAAACTGCAGAGGTCTTTAGAAATTACAGATTGGAAAGATTAAAAATTAATTATTTTGTTTAGTTCATAGGCTTGCGTAAGAACAGAGCTAAATTAGTTTAACTATATTTGTTTTCCTTTGTTCAATGGCTTTTTTAACATACTGCATATATTTGTCTGATAATTGAGATGATTGTTGCCATAATTTTAAATGGGGGTTGTTCTGTGTCATTCTGCTGCTGATGGAAAGCTTTTTTCATTATATTATCACTTCATAGTCTGTAGTCCCATTTAGTTTCTATATGGTTGTACAGAATAAATTCTGGGAATGTTAAATAGTAATGTGGTTTGTTTGTATTTTTTTTAACAGAAGGTTGAGGGGGGTAAAAAAAAGTGGGTTGATAAGTCTGCTTTGCTGTCCTTATAAACTGGTGCCAATATGTGGTAAGTAGGGATGGAGCTGAATTTGCATGAGACTGAATTTTCATGAGGCAAGGCATTTGTGCCAGCTCCTATTGGAAAGGGTTATGGAATATATCTTAAAAGCGAACTGTAAAGGATAGAATAGACATATTAGGTCTATTTTACCACTTTATGATGTATAAAGATTAAAGTGTTTTTAACTTTTTTTTCCTTTAGGTAACAAGGATGTCAAGTGTGGCTTTCCTTGTTTTTAGTGAAGGACCATTGGGAAGAGCCATGGATGTTCGCTGTGAGTTCTAACACTTTAATAGAAGGAGTGTAGATAATGACTCTTTAGCAGGTGTTTTATTCAAAATGTTAATTACTAAATTTAGGTTAAAAATTAAAGTTCAAATGTGACTGGTGTCTCTTTTTGGGTATATATCATTTGAGGGGTAAGTTGGTGTGCCACAAACCCACAGTATTTGCTCTGCAATGACTCCTAAGTGTGTTTGTCTAAGGAAACTAGTGCTTGGTGGTGCATTTTACAGTGCACTTGCTTCCTTACCTGAGTCCCACGTGTATGCTCTCAGTGCATACTAAAAGGGAGTTTAATCCACTTTTGCTTATTGTGCTCTAAGGGTATACATGTAGAATTAGAGCTGAGTAGCTGGCATGCTGTAAGCCAGTGGTTCTCAACCTTTTGCACCTTGCATCCCACCAACCATTTTGTCAAAAAAACCTGGTCCCACCATGATAAAAACAAAATCCCACTTTTTCCAAGAAGTGTATTTTTATGTTTACATGCATTTTAGTATTATATTAATCATTAATGGAAATTTTCAAATGAGTTGAAGTCCCACCTACATGACCTTTGTGTCCCACCAGTGGTTGAGAAACACTGGTGTACGTTAACATCCTAGCCGACTGAGCAGTAACTTATCCATGCAAAAACAATCCCTCTCTACACACTAAGAATGTCTGCTAAGTGGGACTTAATGCAGAGCAGTTGAGTGCTGTAAATTCACACCTTAGCTTATTGTGCACTGACTTGCATCTGCAGACAAGCCATTAATGTGTATCAAGTTCAAAGTAACTTATTCCAGTGTGTAATCAGAGTAAGAACCTCTTATACAAGTACATTGTTAAAACACTAAAGGTCAGGTCCAATTCTGCTTATTCAACATTTAAGAGTCAAAAGTGTGATCTTATTTGATTCTATTTGAGTCCCTCGTATATAACATAATTTCATTTCAATCACAAATTACACCTCTTCCTTCGCACCATTCACTTTGTGCTGTCTGCTTTTTAGGGACTTGAACAGGAGGGAATAGGATTAGACAGCTTGGGTGCCTATACAAGTGCTCCAATGCATTCTAATTGGAATGTGTTGGAGTAGCCTTGAGTTGAGTCTGGTCTGTGTTCTAATTGGAACACTCTACCATTGCTGTAGCATCACATGTATAAGACCCCGCAGATTTAAAAATGGCCCCTGGGGCACATTAACTAAAGCTCATTGAATGAGCTTTAGTTAAAATATCCCACAGTCATTTTTAAAAACATAGGGACTTAGTACACTTGACATTATGGAGTTTAAATTAGAGTGACTCTCCAGGACCCACTCTAATTAAAATGCCCTCCCATACCCACCGCCGAGCATGTGTATAGGCACCCGTTAGTACCACTTGGGTAGTTTGGATCTGGCTTATAAGTGACCTCACCAGGGCTTAGTGTGAAATAATTCACACACTGTGAACTCATGCCCTGGTTTTACTTCACCTTTAACTTTCCCATGTAGATAACCCCTAATTAACTCTTTTTCTCTCTCTTTAAATGGTTTAACTTTGACAACCCCAGAAGAGAGAAAAGAAACTTATCTGGTCCACAGCTGAGTGGTGCATGGCTGGTTCATGGTTTGGAACTGGAGTGCAAGGCCTCTGGGCTAGACCTGGGTTGTGGTCCCATGTCACCTGGAAATTTGGTGGTGGGGCAAGCAGGGATAGTGGTAATTATTGCAGCTCCCAGAGCCACAGTAGCCACTGTTTGTCCTACCATTAAATTTCCAGCCTGTGAGCAGCCCCACAAGCCATCTGACTGGGCTTCACGCTCTGATCCAGACTAGGGCTGCTTGCAAGTGAGATATTTTGTGGTAAGATGACTGGCAGCTGCCATAGCTCTGAGGGCCAAAGCCATTAATGTGGTCTTTCAGGCCACCATATATGTCCTAAGAGAGAAATAAAGGGCAGAAGCAATTTCTCTTCTTCCTTTTTCTTACAAGACACCTTTGAATTCAGTAACTGATTCTAGTACACAGGCCTGCTTTTATGGTTACTGTGATATGACATGAATAGAGGTGCACCAATACATCTGTCTGATATTGGATTGGCACCGATATAAAGAAAATTGGCTGTATCGGAAATCAGCCTGATGTGGCTGATAAATGGCCTGTGCGCATGTACAGCCTCAGCACACCATGTAGGCAGTGAGGAGCACAGCCTGGCAGCTTGGGGATCTGTGTGCAGCTGATAAGTCTGTTGTGGAGGAAAGGGAGTGGGGAGGGAAGGAGTGGGGGGGCAGAGATCAAGGCTCCTGTGGTGAGGGAGGGAGTAGGGCTGAGTCTGGGGCAGAGGCTGGGATAGGTGCTGCACAGGTGGGGTGGGGCATGGGACAGAGCTGTGGAGCACACCCTGGGAGGGCATGGGGGGGTGGGGGGCAGCATGTGCCCTAGTATCTGTGTGGGGCGGGGCAGTTGCCACTGCAAGCTAGGGCTGGGGCTGCACCAGGCTCTTCCTGGCGGGGACTGGACTGCACCAGGCTCGGGGCGGGCAATGGTAGCACTGGGAAGGGGATTGGGGGGGCTATGGTGAATTATGGGGTGGCTGGGGCCCCCCCCCCCCCCCCCCCCCCCACA